TTTCTTTCTTTCTTTCTTTCTTTCTTTCTTTCTTTCTTTCTTTCTTTTTCTTCCTTCCTTCCTTCCTTCTCTTTCTCTCTTCTCTTTCTTTCTCTCTTCTCTTTCTTCTCTCTTTCTTCTCTCTTTCTCTTCTTTCTTTCTTCCTTTCTCTTTCTTTCTTCTTTCTTTCTTTCCCTTCCTTCCTTCTCTCTTCCTTCTCTTTCTTTCTTTCTCTTTCTTTCTTCTTTCTCTCTTCCTCTCTCTTCTCTTTCTTTTTCTCTTCTTTCTCTCTTTCTCTCTTCTCTCTTTCTTCTCTCTTTCTTCTCTTTCTTCTCTCTCTTCTCTCTCTCTCTTTCTTTCTTTCTTTCCAATTGGTAGTAAGGCGAGGGAAGAGCAGGCACTTTGTGGTTTACTCCATCTCTGCCTCCTGAAAGTGTTCTTGACATAGAGGGGGCTTTTGGTTTCCCAAATCTGTGTTCCGGTGAGGTTTAGACATTTTCCTAACTCGCTTTTAAAACGGAACTTTGGACCAAGCCGTGGAGAGACAAGGCACAACTGTGGAGAGTCCTCCTCCATTAAACTCCCCAAATACAGCAATTAGATCCTCCAACTGCACCCCATTTGCTTATGTTCTTCTGTTTCTCTTCCTAGTACAAGAATGGAGGGCCAATTATAGCCGTGCAGGTGGAGAATGAGTACGGCTCCTATGCCCAAGACCAGAATTACATGGCCTACATAAAGCAGGTAAAATGATTCTTCCACCGCTTTTGAACTGAAAAAGAAATGCATTCAGGTTACATAAAAGCAAAACAAGCACGCACAAACACACACAAGCACAAACACACACAGGAGTTGATACCTCCAAGAATTGACCTGATTATTTATTTAGCGCGGGAGTCGGCAACCCGCAGCTCTGGAGCCGCATGTGGCTCTTTCCTCCCTCTGCTGCGGCTCCCTGTCACTCAAAATATGTGTCACAGCCGCCGTTGTGCGACACCCACCAGCACGCAATTTATCGAGCTTTTCAACCTCTAGTAGGGCAACCATGGGTAAATCCAAGAAAAGAAAAGTTTCAGAAGAAAACAGAATATTTAATTCCAACTACAAAGGCTAGTTTTGTGGCCACTCAGGAAATAGCCAGGCATGGGAAGGGTTTTTGTGGCTCCCGGTGTTTTCTTTTCTGTGAGAAAGAGGTCCAAATGGCCCTTTGAGTGTTTAAGGCTGCCAACCCCTGATTTAGCGTATGGCAAAATACATGGACTTATGGTGGTTCAAATGTTAATGTTCAAGTCCACCCAGCCATTCAAGGACAGGATGGTCTATGTTGAAAAGAATCGGACATTGGGCCGGTGTAAGCTCTTGATGGGACATTTGGACACAATGTGATGGGTATTTTGTCGAGGAGCACCACAGTCACACTGAGGGGTAGAGACAAGACCCCACTTAAACAAGGAGTCCTGGAAGACACCATGCTGGGTGCGGAACTTGTTCAGAGTTCACCAGTGCTGGCGAGGAAGGTCAAAACCTGGCACCTTTTGTGTGTAGGGTCAACTACGTAATTGCCTGTATCTGGGCGCTCAGCTGACCATTTGGCTTTCCAGATCAATCAATTGATCTGATTGATCTCATGGGACAGGAGATGGAGTAATATTTATTTAGAATAGCATAGCATAGCGTAGCGTAGCACAGAACAGAACAGAACAGAACAGAACATATATTGGAATATAGAATAGAGTAGAACAGAACAGAACAGATATTATAGAATAGCATAGAACAGAACAGAATAGATTGGGGAATAGAATAGAATTAGAATTAGAATTAGAAATAGAATAGAATAGAATAGAATAGAATAGAATAGAATAGAATAGAATAGAATAGAATAGAATAGAAAACAGAGTTGGAAGGGACCTTGGAGGTCTTCTAGTCCTACCCCCTGCTGAGGCAGGAGACCCTCCACTACTTCAGACAAATGCTTATTCAACATCCTTTTAAAAACTTCCAGTGATGAAACTTTCACCGCTTCTGGATTTATTAATTCTTTAAATTTATATGTCGTCCATCTCACTGTCCAGCAACTTTTGATAGCAGACAGGAGTAATGCCTATGGAGATTCTCCGTCATCCAGTTCACGGTTGTCCCAAAGGTGCTTTTTCAGGAGGCAACTGGACTTTTTCTTGGAAGACGTTTTGCTTCTCATCCAAGAAGCTTCTTCAGCTCTGGATGGATGGTGGGGAATGGAAGGGTTTATGCTCCTTGCAGACAGCTGGACATTTGCATCCTTTTAGAGGGTCCTTAAAGTCACCTGGAGGTTTGTCTGTGTCCTCAGGGTTACCTGAATGGTGCAAATGAGCGTGGAGCCTTTTTGGAACTGCTGAAAGGACTTCATTGTAGACCGGAGATAGAAGATGCCATAACCCTCCCCCTCTGTTGACAGAGAGCTGTTCAGTGTAGACACAGATGGCCTCTTTGACCCCTCTTTCAAACCAGAGGTCTTCTCTGTCCAAAATGTGGACTTTGCTGTCTTCAAAAGAGTGGCAGATGGACTGCTGAATCTAATCCTGGTCTGTTTGTTCTCCAATGTTGCACCATGTGTTTATGAAGCGGTTGTTTTGTTTCCCCAATCTAAGATCTGCACGTGGCTCACTCGCATGGCACTGCAAATACCACCTTGTTCAGTTTGTGTCTGGGTGTTTTATCCTTGGGGTGGACCAGCTCCTGCCTTAGTGTATTCTTGGGTTTCAAGTACGTCTGTTATGTCGGCCGACACACTTTGGCCCCCGTAGTAAAAGACGTGGAGCCTCCTTTGCCGTAGATTATTTTTTGCAAGCCAGACCAAAGCTGCCTCGTATAACCCAGTAATCCAGAGCTCAGGCAGAAGGACAGCTAATTTGATTTAAGGTCTCCTGCTGTCATCTCAACCCAGCAAAGAGAACTTGGCAAGTTGCCACCTGTCTCCTGGGCAGGCAGGTGCTGGGAGACGGTCAGTTTCGGCTCGGCAAGTCCTGCTCCAGCTGCATCTCCATTCCTTACCTGGTGGAAATGTTTGCCGGTAGCAGAGGTATAAATGCCAGAGTTACTGGGTTGGGTTGCACTACAGGCAGCCCCCGCCATAACAACTGTTTGTTTAACCTAAATGTTACAATAGTGTTGTGGTTAGTTGGCAGCAGGTGCGGACGGCTGAGGAGAGCGAGGACTCAGATGAGGGGCCAGGACCATCAGGGAGTGGACTGCTGCCTTCAGAGATTGTGGGGGCTGGCAGCAGCAATGAGGAGGTTCCCGAGGAGCCTGTGCCAAGTGCATGTGCGCACAGGATTGCTCGCAGGAAAGAGCATCTGCAACAGCACAGGTGACTCGGGAGTAAGTCTGCAAGGTAATGGCCCCTCCTTCAAGAAGATATAAGCCAGCTCTAAAGAGAACGTTCTTTGCAGGAAGCAAAGACGTTTTGAAACTCAGCCTTGTGGACATTACAGTATCTTAAGTTGGTATTTGAAGACTCTTGTGTTGTGAAATATTTCTTATCTGTGATTTTGGCAGTCTCATACAATTTTGGCAAGGTTTGTGCTTATCAATTAGTTTGCAGCAGCCTTTTAACCGGGGATTCGTAAGACTCATTAAAAGGTTTCTGTTCCCTTTGGTTATTTGTTTTATTGGAAAATGGTTTGGGTCAGAACAAATGGCACTGAAAAAAGTAACTTGCTACCAGTCCTCTCCATTGTGACAGTCACTAAGCAGGTCACCATGTGACCGCGCCTGATTATTCTACCTATTTTTATGGAAGTTGTAAAGTGAACGCCACAGTGTTAAGCAAACTCATTGTTTACAATGAAAGGAATTTTTTGTTGTTGGTTTTTTGCCGGAAACCAAAACAGAATGCCGTTTCCAGCAAAACATTTTTAAATATATTTTTTATTGATACATTTTTCTTTAATAAACACAAAAAACTCAATATCTACGTGAACACTGTGTTGTCTGGGTGCAGTTAGTTTTGGAAAATAACAATAGAAATAACAATAACATTGATAGATTTGATCATAATCATATAATAATAATACCTTGAGTACCTTGCTTAATAGTAGTTAACTGCGAGAGGGATCTCGGAGTCCTAGTGGACAATCATTTAAATATGAGCCAGCAGTGGCCAAAAAAGCCAACATAGTTCCAGGCTGCATAAACAAAGGGATAGAATCAAGATTAGGTGAAGTGTTAATACCACTTTATAAGGCCTTGGTAAGGCCACACTTGGTATCCTGCATTCAGTTTTGGTTGCCACGATGTAAAAAAAGTTATTGAGACTCTAGAAAGAGTGCAGAGAAGAGCAACCAAGAGGATTGGGGGATGGAGGCTAAAACATATAAAGAATGGTTGCAGGAACTGGATATGTCACTCGTCTAATGAAAAGAAGGATTAGGGGTGGCATGATAGCAGTGTTCCAATATCTCAGGGACTGCCCCAAAGAAGAGGCAGTCAAGCTATTCTCCAAAGCACTTGAAGACAGGTCAAGAAGCAACGGATGGAAATTACTCAAGGAGAGAAGCAACTTAGAACTCAGGCGAAATTTCCTGACAGTGAGAACATGTCATTTATCAGTGGAACAACTTGTCTCCAGAAGTTGTGAATGCTCCAACATTGGAAGTTTTTAAAAAGATGTTGGATAACCATTTGTCTGAAGTGGTGTAGGGCTTCCTGTCTAGGCAGGGGGTTGGACTAGAAGACCTCCAAGGTCCCTTCCAACTCTTGTTATTCTATTCTAATATTTTCTTATCCATATTAATATACCTTCATTGTATAGTTAATCATTCTCTTAAACTTTTCAGTTTCTAGCTTCTGTTTCTGTCATCTAACCATTGATAAAACGAAACCCGTGTTAAAAAAATATTGTGTTTCTTCCTTCTCCTTTACTTTAAATGTTAATCTATCCAAAGCAAAACATTTTAAAGCCCTTTCATGTGACCACGAGACTCTGCAAATGGCTATAAGTGGGGCCAGGTGCCCAAAATGCTGTATTGTGGCCACGGAGAGGGGTGGTATTGTCGGAACTTTGAAACCAGCTCATCAGTAGATTTTTGTGGGGCAACTGTCATAACTATGAATAGTCACTGAATGACCATTTGTAACTCGAGGTACTACCTGTACCACGTTTATTTTCTTGTTCAAGTTGGGCTATCAAATCTTGACCACTGCACTACACAGAAGTGTCTTTGCAGCCGTCGTGAAATTTTGCAACCTGGATCCGTAATCCTGGTTTAAATTGATGGTCCACATTTCTATAATTAACATTAAAAAGGATGGACAAGAGGCCGTCTGTAACAATTGGCAGGAAATCACGAAACGTCTACATTGATCAGAGCTAATATCAGAAATATCTTGGCGTTTTTCAGCTTCTCTTGGTCCTCGCAACATCTGGGTCAGGATGTTTATGGGGATTCGCAATCATCTCATGGTTGTCCCAAACTTTTGCTCTTCCAAAAGGCAACTGGACTTTTCTTGGTTTAACTTCACTTAGAACTGAAGAAGGTTCTTGGATGGGAAACAAAACGTTTTCCAAGAAAAAACAAAAAAAAAAAAAAAACCCAAGAAAACCGAGTTTGCGTTCTGGAGAAGCACCTTTGGGACATCTGGGTCAAAATGTCACCTTGAATCCCGGAAAGAGTAGCTCCCTTCAAACCGTGGTTTTTTCCTGATCCTGGCTTCTTCTGGGCTGTCAGCTCTGAACTTCAGTATGGCCGTGTCTTCTTTCTCGCAGGCTCTGCTGAGCAGGAACGTGGTGGAGTTATTGGTGACCTCGGATAATAAAGATGGCCTGAGTGCTGGCATCGTAGAAGGAGGTAAGTTGTGTGATCCTGGAGCAAAGTTGTGACTGAGATTTTTTTAAAAAATCCATGCCACTGTACCACCTATCTGCTACAATTCTACAAAAGGACATTGTGGTGGTTTTTTTTTTTCCCTTTGTTTAAACGCATGTGAGTAACCAGCATCACTCATCAGGAGCCTCTGTGGCGCAGTGGATAGAGTGCAAGCTACCTCTGCTGCCTGCCGGCTGCCTACATTTGGCAGTTCAAATCCCACCAGACTCAAGGTTGACTCAGCCTTCCATCCTTCCGAGGTGGGTACAGTGAGGACCCAGATTATTGGGGGCAATAGGCTGACTCTATAAACCACTTAGAGAGACGGCTGTAAACCACCGTGAAGTGGTATATAAGTCTAAGGGCTACTGCTATTGCTATCACTGTAAAGTATTTGTACGCCATAGAAAGCTTTTGAAACCATTCTTCTATTTAAGGCTCAGAATGTACAGGTAATGCTGGACTTGTAACCATTCATCTAGCAAACATTCAAAGTTTCAACAGCACTGGGAAAAAGAGTTGTTGTTGTTAGTTGCGAAGTCATATCCAACCCATCACGACCCCATGGACAACGTTCCTCCAGGCCTTCCTGTCCTCTACAATCTTCTGGAGTCCATTTAAGCTCACACCAACTGCTTCAATGACTCCATCCAGCCGCCTCCTTCTCTGCCGTCTTCTTTTGCTCTCAATTGTTCCCAGCATTAGGCTCTTCTCCAGCGAGTCCTTCTTCCTTCTCATGAGGTGGCCAAAGTCTTTGAGTTTCATCTTCAGGATCTGGCCTTCTAAAGAGCAATCAGGGTGGATCTCCTCTAGGACTGACCGGTTGGATGGCCTTGCAGTCCAAGGGACTCGCAGGAGTCCTCTCCTCCAGCCCCAGAGTTCAAAGGCCTCCATTCTTTGGCGCTCAGCCTTCCTTACGGTCCAACTTTCACAGCCATATATTGCAACTGGGAAAACCACAGCCTCGACTAGACGCACTTTTGTTGGCAGGGTGAGGTCTCTGCTTTGTAGTAGGCTGTTTAGATTTGCCACAGCTTTCCTCCCCAGGAGCAAGCATCTTTTAATTTCTTGGCTGCAGTCCCCATCTGCGGTGATCTTGGAGCCCAGGAAAATAAAATCTGTCACTACCTCCATTTCTTCCCCATCTATTTGCCAGGAATTGAGAGGGCCGGATGCCATGATCTTACCACCCATTGATTAAAAATATGGTTGATTACTTAGAGTTTAAATAACTTTATTCCCCCCCCCCTCATTTTGCTTTGCCAATAAAGCCCCCAATCCTTCTGACAGTAGAACAGTTGTGAGGCTAATGGAGAAAGAATTTGGATATATATATATATATATACATATACACAAACACATATACACATACACATACACACATACACACATACATACATACATACATACATACATACATACATATTTGTTTTCTGAGGTTTTCGCGGGTATTTGTATGTGGATCTTTGGTTATT